CAAACTTCAACAATACAAATCCTCATACTAGACATACCATCCTTCTTCTGCTTCTCCTCTGTAGAGTCCTCCCCTTATCCCGTCCCCCAAACCATGACCCAGCACAACCCAGCACCACGTCCTAACACCTCAAACAGACTACTTCATAACATAAACTTTTGCTGCATTATATCCAAAAAGACCCAACTCCTCCATACTATACAACCCAGACATCATAATAGGTACTGAGACCTGGTTGACATCAGATAAAGACTGTGTGGAAATCTTCCCTCCGCTTTATAGAATGACAGGATATGCAGACAGACTAAATGACATAGGGAGATGTGGTGGTGTCCTCATCACCACCAAACCTGTTTTAGTTAAATATAGGCCAGACCTTGACACAGACTGTAAGATCAATTAGATCCAACTACATATTTCTTATTGTAAATCACTCTTGCTCGCCCCTTCTACAGACCTCCTCCTTCCAATACAATCTGTCGCTCGCACCACTCCAGACATAAACATTTGGACTGCAGGTAATTTCACCCTCCCTGGCATCAACTGGACCTCTGCATTCCCTTTTGACCCCATTGATGCAGACGCCCCACACGAACAGGTGCCAGTTACACGATACCTTCGTTGACATAATAAATACATTCGCACTCTCACAAACAGTATTCAAAATAACACGAACCCAAGTTACCACACGCCCCACTGGCAACAGAGGCCCTTCAACCACTTCCCTCACGCTAGATCTCTTCCTCAAAAACAACACCCCACATAACACACACCAAGGTTGTTCCAGAACTAAGTGGCGAACGACATCGTTCTTGTTGACGCAAACCTTCAACCAACCAGACAGACGGAGACATGGACCTATTTTGCTTTACTCTAGAGCCGACACAGACTCTATCATAAGGGACATGATGACTTACAGAGACAAATTTCTATCTTCTGACTCCTCCTACTATCAACCCCTTGATGAAAACTGGAAAAGCCTAAAACACTTCATACATACTGCCATTAATCCCTCAGTGACAGTATTAGAAATCTCTTGGCATCATAGGCTATGGTGATTTCTGGCAAGCTTCCAGCCACTGGGAGCGGCTGTAAGCTACTTGTAGAGGAACTTCCCGCTCAGTGAGCTCTAGTACATTGTCACGCATATAGCCATATTTGGCAGATCATGAGGTTTGTTATAACGGCTATACACATTTAATGATCCTTCCCCCTCTACTCACCCTCGTCTTCCCACGGTACTCAGGACCCTACTGGTAATCGCCTGTGGCAAGTTTGACCTACGCCCAGAAAGTAACGACAATGGCTAAGTGCCCCTAGAGCAAGCGATTCCGACTCTTACCATCGAATACTTTATAACTACAAGTGAACTTATATCTTGATTATACTAGAAGTGTTTGTTAAAAAATCCTTATTCTCAATCACTATGTTTGTAATCATTATTATTGACAATATTGTAGTTATCTAATGTTCATGATATAATTGTATTGACATATCCAGTGTCCCCGACCAGACCTGTGACCACAAAATCCTTACCCTGCTATAAAACAGAGTCTGTACTGACATTTCCCATGAGAGAACAATGTTGCCATATTCTTATGTTTATTGAATATTTTGTGAACCATTCAAAATCTCAGAGAGCCGAAGTCTCTCTGCCCTCAGCATCGGCTCGGGCAACACCTCAAGCTCTCTCAGACCGCTTCGCCTCGCGGGCGTGGCAAGAGGCCTCGCTCTTTGGGCATCTCTGCCACGCCTGTCCTCTGTACACCACCTACCATATTCCCATGTTAATAAAGACTAGAAGCTGCGACAACTTTAACTTCAACTCCACTTCACTTCAAGAGCAAACTCCAATACCATAAAAAAGAGAGAGAGGAGACACAGCATCCACTAATGTATCATTATTACATTGGCAGCAGAAAGTGGGATAAGTTCAATTATGTAACATTACAACATGACCCAGCAGTAACAGGTTACAAATCACACCACACAAATTTCTCCAGAGGTCTACACACATAACATCAAAGAAAACAGACTTTACATGTGTGTGCAGTCATACTACACACCAGAAAATTGGGCTAATTTCAAATCTTTCCAAAAAATATTTGACAAAAACATATAGAAGGCCGGATGTGAACACATCAGTAAATTACTTGCAGATAATGTAAGAATATAGCCATAGTTATGGATACTTTTTCAAAAGACAAAAAAAACTACTCAGGAACCAAACCTGAAAATAATTCTTGCTTACAACTTACACTTGTTCTATGAAATTATCAAAGTCTGGAGAGAAGGTTCCAGCTGGCAGCCGAGGAGGAGCATCCATCACAACTTGCTTCAGCTGGTCAAATGGAGTTCCCCAGGACTTGTAGGGAAATTTACCCGTAGCTATCTCCACCATCGATATGCCGAGTGACCACACATCAGACCGGATATCATACCCCGAGGGAACTCCTTGTGGATCTATTCGCTCTGGCTGCAAGATTAGGATTACCTTTACCTTCTTCATAGTGCATGAGAACTTGCGATTTGTCTTACAAAAAGAATCACAGTGTTCTCAGGATAATAAAATAACAAATTTATGCTGTTATAAAACTGCATAACTTCACAGTGGTGATTATTTAAATGTCAGAAAAGGTGTACCTTCTTATCTAAATCAACATCATAGGAACACTATATTTTCAAGTCAGTTCTAGACTACAGTAATGGAGTTGAAGGGGTCCATAATACTACATCCATCTTGTACTTAAAATCCATGAACTGCACCATGTACCATATGATATGTAATTGCAACTTTTCCATGAATTTTTTTTTATTTTAATCAGGCATATTATAGAGTTCCAGGATATAATTATTACCCTTGAGATAAGTTTGAAATATATCTAGAGCACTTAGCAGTGAAAACAGACAGACAGTTGTGTGGCTCCTGCACCTGAGTTTCATGTGCAGGAACCAAACTCTGACTGTGGTAAGGATGGAAGGTGGAGGGTAGAACTGACCAAAGAACCAATCAGGAATACCATAAAGAAATAACAAATTCAAGTTCTTTTTTTGGTTATTTTTGAGCTTGTCTCATTAGATAAAAAAAACAACATTTACAATTACAGTCACAACAAGAAAGGAGACAGAAACCACCATGTCCATTCTCCTCCTTCCACCCCATTAATGTGCCTGAATATTTTCTATTTCACGGCTAGATGTTCTAGCAAAACAAAAAGTCAGATTCTGAAATTTATTTTTTGCTTGTTTTTGTGAACGGCAGGGCTCATTAAATTTTCCAATACCACATTTTACATGGTAAAACTAACAGTAAAAATATATCTCTTTGGATATAAGCCTTTTGCATAAAATAAGCAATTCTGAGTC